GTGACGGCTCGAAGGCAGTGCAGAGATACTTCCCTAAAGATTATTCTCGACAAAAGTTGCACGTCTAAGTCAACTACTTTGCATAATAATAACTTAATAGACTTCGGAATAGAGTAACCCAAACAACATGTGACTTTACTGTCTTGTAAGCCAGTCAGGGTAGTTAGAAGAGCAATGAGTTCGGGGCTCGATTCACACGCAGCCTTTAAGGCACGCGCTTTGGAGATAGGCCTTAGTCAAGATGTGATAGAACTCTTGAAAGCCGGCGGTGTCACTTCGTTTGGTTCATATGCATTCGTGACGTCCTATCAACCAGGGCAGCCAGATGAGACGCCACTGATCGAAGCTTTGACCAAGGTGATGCATCGTGCACCGTCCACCGAGGAAACCATCCCGCTAAGGCGCCTTTTCTTCGAGAGCTGCACCTTGGCCATTAGCGATTTGAAACAGAGGACTGAAAGGGATGAAACCGCTGAGCCGTCTCGTATGCCAGTTGCCGAGCGGAATGCACGGCTACAGGAACAGCAAAATCGTTTGAAAGGCATTCACTTCAGCCCAGAGACCGAACCGAGTCACAAGCTTGTTGATCTGGTCTGTCAGATGAGCACGGACCAGACCTTAGAATGGATTCCATGGGAAAAGCTGACAAGTCGTGCTAGTGAAGTGACGCATACACAGAAAGACCTTAAGCTTGCCTTTGATGCCACAGGTTCGTTGAAAGTAGCCCACAAGGACCAGACACCCGATGCGGCCGTGACTGGAGAGCTCAAGGTGAGGCAGGCTTTGAATCGTAGGTCAAGAGCTTTCGATTTAGCAAAACTGTGTTCTTTTACCCGGATGGAAGAGTGGCATGAGCGAGTGTTTGAAGTCTTGCAGAAGGAACCAGCAGCAAACGCTATGCCTGTCACATTGCAACAAGTGCGAGAAGCCGACAAGACACTTTTCAAGAAGCTGTCCGAGAAGACACGAGGACGCCTCACTCAGGCACCAGACGGCACCAAACCGATGGACACCTTCTTAGACGCATGCATGGACAGTGCTGAGGTACAGTTTTGTCTCATTCCAATGGTTCGAGCTGCAAGGGTTCCGCCTACTCTTTCACACTCTGACCATCCCAAGGGGGGGGGGAAGGGCAAATGGTCCAAGCCAAAGAGCAATTTCGTTAAAGGGCAACAGAAAGGTTTGCAACTGCCACCAAACTGTCATCAGATGACGCCAGACAAGAAGCCGATTTGTAACAACTTCAATCGCACATCCTGCCCATTTGCAAAAGAGGGCAAACGCTGCAAGAGAGGTTTTCATGTGTGTTGGCAGTGCTTCAAACCGAAGCCCCACCATTCTTGTGACCATTCGTGACAAAAAGCCCCCCCCGCTGGGGAAAGTAGTGAGCCGAACAGAAAGCGAGTGAAGGGTGAACCAAGCGATCACCCAAATCTTTTTCCATCAGATCTTCCTATTTTTCCACAGCCTTCGAATTCAAATGTGCAACCAAGAGCTGTTTTTTGTGAAGTTTTTGCTGGATGTGGCCGCCTTAGTAAGATCGCATATGAACATGGCTTTGGCATTTTGCCAGTTGATGGCCCCAGAAATGAGCACACGCCCGAATGTCAACTCCTCACCTTGGATCTAACAGAATCCGAAGAACAGCAATGTCTGATCCAGATGGTTTCATCCATTCGCCCTCAGGCAATACATGTGGCACTGCCTTGCGGCACCGGCAGCCGCGCCCGCGAGAAGCCAATACCGAAACACCTTCGGCAGCAGGGGGCACCAACCCCCCGGCCGTTGCGAAATCAGAATTGCCCTCTAGGTATTCCGGGTCTCAGTCACTTTGAAAGCCAAAAGGTCCGTTGTGCAAACAAACTAGCCGAATTTACGGTGCGTTTGTTCCAAGTGTCTCAAACGTGGGATTGTGTCTTTACTATTGAAAACCCACTCAATAGTTGGATGTGGCTGGTTTTGCAGCATTATGTTGACCAACTCAAGGACCCCGCCATTTCACAGGCCTGGAGCCGATTGGCCGACGTTCGCTTTAGCAATTGCGCCCATGG